TTAGCATCAATGATATGTGGTTTGTTTAAGGAATATTGTTTTTTTCATGCTTAATAATTATTAAAAGAAATATTTATCATAATGTATGCATGTTTACATGCTCTACATGGTGTCACATACCATTATGCTTATTTTTAATTTAATAGTGGTATAAGTATGTAATTTAGAAATATATATGATTTACTTTATGGCTATTCAATTATTTTCATGATAGCTTATATTAGTATTTATTCATGGATCTGAGGGATATGTTAGTTTATTTTTTTATGATGGAAATTTTTTCGGAGGAGGTGGGTAATTTTTTGTAAAATAGAATATATGAATCTAGTGGCTAATAGTGGTAATGATGATTAGAGTCTACAAGTGAAAGGGTAGATGTTCCTGATTATTGTGAGATTTTTTAGAATTTATTCTTTTTCTAAGCGCGTCTCGTGAGGATAAACCTGGTGCAGGCTCTTTTGGGACCTCTAATTTATAAGTAATAGTAGGATTGGTAATTGTTTTGTGAGAATGGGTGCAGATTTTTCCTTCTTTTATTGTAACTGAGAATATGGACGTGCATTGCTGCAGGTAAAGGCCGTAGCGAAGAAATATGTCAAGCTAAGACAATCTCGGTTTTGGCTCGTAGTAGCTTCAAGTCTGCTTAACCTTGCAGGAGGGGCACAGAGGTTGGGGCTTCCTTAACCTGGGATGATATATTTGAGGTGTGTTTAGATGTATGCCCCGGCCAGTGGCCAAGCCAGAGTTTGGCTATAGCCAAATCAGCGCATGGCCAGAATCTGGTCATATTGGACATGTTTGGATGGTGGGCAATCCAAAATACTGCAAGTATTAGAAAAAAATGCTGTTTGATTAGTAGACATAGCAAGTATGACATGTAGAACCCATATGCCATTATTTTTATTTCTCACTTAGACATAGCAACGACGTGGGGTCTTGTTTTATAGATAAAATCGCAAGGAATCTAATGGTGAAAACAAGATGGGAATCGGATATATGATTTAGTAGATATTAGCATTTGAGATGTGGTAATCCAAAAATCTTAAACCACGTGCAACCAATATACGATCGACACGTCACCCAGGTGCATGGGCAAGCAGCCGGCCAATTGGGGGCGCATACTCTAATCTTAGTAATTTACTGTAACTGGTTGGTGCCAAATTTTTGTTGGCCAGCCAAAACTTAAACAAGCACCAATCGGCAATTAAATTTTGACTTAGTTGACCTATGGCTAGAACCAAACATACCGTAGGTTACCAATTTGGTACAGACAATGCATGGGGCACGCCAAGTCAATTATGGATAACAATCAAACTCGGTGCCCCATAACCTTCACATGACCAACCCGGTGACATCACGACATAAAAAAGATGATATACAGTGCTTCAATGATTATAAAGACCCATTTGGTACTCATGGCTTCAGCTCTGCGGAGGAGCCCTACCAAACAAGTAGGAGAAGCCGTTTGGAGCCGCTTTTGGAGTAGCTACATATAGAGGAGCTCTACCAAACGAAACCTAAACCCTCTCACAGATTGTAGAAAGCAACTGATTAAATCGAAATGGCAGCTAATTAATTTCTAGGCATGCCTATATTACATAATAGCGACAAACCTTAGCTGTCCCACTTAAAAAGCCTTAAAAGTTAGAGGTAAAATTAAAAGAAAAAACAGAACCAATCAGGAGTGAGAGATAGAAGCACAGAACAAATAAATCAGGAGTGATTGATGGCGACGGGGCGCCTCGAATATCAAAACTACGTTTTATTCTCATCAGAATGAAACAGGCAAATAAAACCTCTTATTTTCTGGAAAAACTAGAAGCGACAAAGCATATACGATATTGTGGACCCACGCCTGTTTCAGAACTTCTGGTGAAAATATATACAAAGCATATAGATTTCTTAAAATCCAGCAAATTAATTAATGTTTCGTTACCTCAAAACCCAGAGAACCCAGCTTGGCCTGCTCGAGCCTCGAGGAAATGAAACAATCGGTACGGTGTGTCAACGAGCAAGTGTACGAGCCTATATATCGACATCTGCAGTGGATCATAAACCACCCTTTGAAGACATCACAAGAACAAATTCCAAAGCCGGCTTGGTCGGCAAAAACGGGTGAACAGAAACGGGTGTCATCAGTAAACTACAAAAAGAATGAACTCAGAGGGAGATCGAATCGGGTGGGATGCACAGCGGCTGCAGCGTGTAAGGTTCCAAATTAAGGTGCTAGAGAATTATTCCGTGGGTGCTCTGCTCAACGGTGGAGCATGGTTGCTGACTTGCTGTCAAGCAACACCTTTGCACCGGCTGTCCAGTCTTGCACCCGGTTCTTTGATTAAAAATTTTGATGACTTTACATCTGCAGAGAATAATCCTGGAGCACGGCAGCACACATGCATGTAGACAATTTATAAGCGGGACCCACTGCACGTTAGCTTGGAGGGTGTGTTCATAGAGCAAGTCAATCCACACTTAACACTAGTTGACTTGGCTTGCTTCAGAATTTCGCAAAGGCTATACGCTGCGCCCGCTCTAAAAGGAATCTTATATCCCCATGAAATTATGTTCCTCTCTCTTTTTATTTAAAGTATGATATGATATGATATGATAAATTTATTTTTTAGTGTCACCTTATTTAATGTCTAACACCCCGACTACCAAAGGATACAAATCCCACAAGTTCTGGGTCATTCAATGAACTAGAATGGCATGTTAGGTAATTAATTTTTGGGCACAAGAAATGAGTTAGCTGAGGTTTATCCACCCATGCATCTAACCGTTACAAAAAAAATTTGCGAACTTTCTACGCACGGTAGGATGGCACACTAAAGGGACTGTAACGCCTAAGAAGAAGGCGAATTAGGCAACTTAAAAACTAATGACCAATAAATCCTACTTATCAAAACCTATGTAAGATACTATCTGTGCACTGTGATTTTGCTAAGTGTCTCTATCTCTAACACAAAAGAGTTTCTAAAACAGGCTTTCAAGAAATCTATACGCTTTATATATTTTTAAGAAATCTATATGCTTATCTCTCATAGTCTCTCTTGAGAATATAGAAACTCTTATGAGAGATAGAATAACTCTTTTGCATCCTATCAACTAACCTACCTAGACTATGAGAGATAAGCACGCAGAACCAACTAATGCAAGTAAGTGCAGAAATGTAATTGAGTTAAAGGATGCAAACTACCGCGCCTACATCGAGAAGCTCGTGCTTCTCCCTAGTACTCATTGGATCCACTCACAAGGATCCCGTCGCAAGGGCCAAGCTCCCGGTAGGTTAACTTCGTGGATAGTCCATAGGCCTTTCCAAGCACAAGTGGGTCTCCATGTGGCCTTTTTCTGGACCGCTCCCCGCCGCCTTCACTATTGAGCTTCCGGACAAAACATCGTAGACCCCATTCCCTTCATACACCATCAGCAACCACAACACAAACATAGTTGGTGTGATATCGCAAGATTATAGGTCCCTCAGAGTACAAACTTGGTCCACATAAGCACCGAGTAGCAAGAGGTATGCTTTAACACCCTAGCCCATTAGTAGTCTATATATAGTAGTGGCCCATGTGAGGTTGAAGTTGGTGGGTTTAGTACCACCTTGAAAGTTTAGGAGGGTGAAGGTCAACTTATTATCCTTGTCGCTCCAAATGTAGCACCTTCAGGATTAACCATTTTACATGAAGTCAAGACAGAAGTGTAAGAGAGATGCTATGTGTATGTAGGCCCATTCCACATGAGGAGTTGGGTCGTAAGCAAATTTTGGACGCAAGATGTTAGATATGAAAATCTCACTAAGCATTAAGCCTAAGCCTAGGGCAAGCGTTGTTTTGATGGTCTAATTAAACACTTGGATTAGAGCCTTAACTCACTTGCAACTTTATCACAATCTAATACACTTTAATTGGCCGACTGCAGGGGTATATATAGCCCAACTCTAAATATAGTCGTTGGCTTCAAACGGTACACTTGTAGCAAGCACCGGAGAGCTCCGGTGACCCCACCAAAGAGCTCCAGGGTGGATGTCCTAAACTCTAGATGCACCACCGGACATTTCCAGTGGCCTCTTACATAGTTTATATGTTGTACCTTTAAGCTCTGTCCCTTAACTCCGGTGGTTCATCGGAGAGCTCCGGTGCCATCTTCTCTTCTCCACCGTGCCTCCAAGTGCCCTTAACCGTACCCCAAGCTCCAGTGATGTGCGCTTTGGTGCTCACTGGAAGTTAAGGTGAGGTTGTTTTCTTCAGCGCTCTAACCGTTGAGCTATCTAAGCTCTGGTGCTCCTCTCCGGAGCGCCCTGGTGATGTACTCTAGTGCTCACTGAGCTTTGTTTCTTCACGTATTTTCATCCAAGCTTCTTCAACTTGATGTCTTCGACTTCTTGCTTGTCTTCTAGCCCTACACTCCAGACTATATAAGAAGGGGTTGGGGGACCCTAATCAGTACCGGATGCATGCAACTCTAAATCTCATATGCAAACAATGTATAATCAATACAACCGTTGTCATTCATTGGATATAGGATACCCTACTTGGCTACTTAAACTAGTATATTTTCTCTGTCCCATGTGCCAATATCTAGATTTGCTGATACAACACTCCCCGTCCATCATCGCCATGCTAATCCGGCTTAATTTGCCAGGTTATCACCATGATGCCCGCGCCCTTGCTCCACACTGGAACCGGTAGCTGAGCGGCTCTTGTATAGGAACCGAGTGCATACACTTTTCTTCTTCTTCTTCTATCTATAATATAATATAATACACCGCTACAGCCTACAGAAGAAGGAAGACGAGAGTTGGGCCGACCTGGGTCTTTCTACTGCCAATCATAGCCCAAGGCCCAACTCATTAATAAAACGTAAAAAACGCTTTTGGGCTTTAGACCTCACCGCGGAGCGAAGGGAGTCCGTCGCTCTCGCTCGTCTCCCACCCGAGGCCGGCCGCCGCCGGAGGTCGAGATTCAAGAGGCGCCGGGAGCATTCTCCTCCGCCAGGATATGTGGCGGCAGCAGCAAGCTCTCCTCCGCCGGCTCCCGCCGCTGAGGGCGGTGGCGCAGGCTCCCTCATCCTGGGCGGCCGACCGACTGGGATGCTACTACGGGTCTGCGCCGGAGGGGAGGAAGGGAAAGACGGCGCCTTTGCAGGTCCCCTCCTTCCATATTCGTTTCCCTGAGTCCATTTTCCCTCCGTCTGTTTACTGATGGATTTGGTGCAGGCGCGGGGCATGGTGGACAAGTTCCGGATGCGCGCCAAGGGTGGCGATGGTGGCAATGGTTGCGTCAGCCTCCGCCGCTCCAGGTCCAGCCGCCTGGGCATGCCTGACGGTGAGAGACCCCACCCTTTTGTGCTGCCCTTGCTTTCGTACTAATACTAATGCTCTTGTCAAAGGCTCTGTTTGTGGTTTTAGCATTGGAGACCAATATGTGTTGGTTCCCTTTTTATTATAATACAACTCCAGCTTGCCTAATTAAATTGTTGCTTCCCTTGATGAAGATCAATCTTCAAATTCCCACTTTAGTTACTTTGTCCATTAGTGGAGCTCTTACTGTTGGAAAATTTATTTTGATTGGGCACTAGGTTAACTGTCTATTGTCCTCATCTGAACTGCCCAGATGTTTTTTTGAGCTCTAAGTAATCTGTTTAATTGACAAACATATCATGTCTGGCTGTCTTCAAAATGCTATTTTTTGAAAGATGATGATTTGAATCTCTGATGTATGGGGATTGGGGAGCTAATGCTTGACCACCTGATACTAGAGGTGCAATTGTACTGTAAATACTGAATTTGATGTCACAATGCAATGCTACGGATAGGGAATGATTCCTGGAATTGTAAAAACTCATGTGCGAGCTGGATTTTAAATCCTGATAATTATATTATATATAAATGTTTCCCCTGTTTCTGTTGGTCGAAGCTAGCTCCTGATACTCACTCTGATTTTCACATGCTAGTGCAGTGGGATTTATATTATTTGCAATGTTTGGAGTGGTCGATCCGTATAATGAATTTTAAAAAGTACAGGTGGTAATGGAGGGAAGGGTGGTGATGTAATTCTTGAGTGCTCAAGGTCTATCTGGGATTTCAGTGGCTTGCAGCATCACATGGTATGTCTTCAAAAACATCATATGATTTTGCTTCAGTTAGATATGGTTGCTGCACTGATTGTTGTGGTTGATGTAAGATAGTATTTCATAAATTATATGTTCCTAATTGAAAGTTAGTGTTGTGAATGTATTGGTATAAGAAAGGTCACCCAACCCAGAATTTTACCTAAAGTGTGAAGCTAGACATTGCGGTGTAGCTCGATATGATATGGATCATGGATCATTTGAATTAGGGGAAAATCATTGATACCTGACTTTAGCTTGTTTAATTTTGGTTTTCAGAGAGGAGGCCGAGGTGGCAATGGAGTTTCTAAGAATCAGATAGGAACAAGAGGTTCTGACAAGGTTACCACGAGTATATGCATATTATATGTCATAACTTCTTTTTTTTTTTTTTTTGGTTTACGTTGTATATCACCTTCTCTACTTAGATGTAACAGATTGCACAAGTACCTGTAGGCACGGTGATTCATCTTGTCGAAGGGGAGCAACCTTCTCTCACAGTAAATAAACCAACCAGAGCTCTAGATCCCTGGGACATACCTAGTGCTGAAGAGCACTCTTCAGATTCAGACCAGATTGTTAACACAGTGACGAAAGGTTTTGATGGTGGCTTGTCCCATCAGCATATTGCCCCTAAGCATATTACTGATGGAAATGGCACTGTAAAGGGAAGCAGCAGTCAGTCGGAGAATCCAAAATACCTTCATACATGCTCCAAGCCTCAGTTCTCAAACACTAATCGTGATGTAAGAATCTATTCATGTGAGGAGGGGACAGATGAAAAAGATCAGACTGAAAGCGAGGATGAAGAATTTTGGGAGGATGAAGACAAGTTTGACATGGACGAGGAGGAGGAGGAAGAGGATATGAGGTATATTGTGAGGGATGAACAAGATGTGCAATATTGTGTTGCTGAGATGATGAAACCTGGGCAGCGGTTAATCATAGCACGAGGAGGCGAAGGTGGATTGGGGAATGCTTCTATCATGAAGGAGATGCGGCCATCCAAAGCAAACAGACAAGAGAAGATAGCCCGTTTGAGTACCGGGCAGCCAGGAACTGAGAGCTTCCTTATCTTGGAACTGAAGAGCATTGCAGATGTTGGTCTGGTTGGATTTCCCAATGCTGGGAAGAGCACATTGCTCAGTGCTCTCTCTAGGGCGCAGCCAGAGATAGCCGACTATGAATTCACCACGCTGAGGCCCAACATTGGCAGCCTGACCTACGAGGACTACTTCTCAGTTAAAGTGGCTGATATACCTGGCCTGATCAAAGGAGCACATGAGAACCGTGGCCTGGGTCATGCTTTCCTGAGGCACATAGAGCGCACCAAAATTATCGCCTATGTGCTTGACCTTGCAGCCACGCTTAATGGCAGGAAGGGTGTCCCACCTTGGGAGCAGCTGCAGGATTTGGTCGCAGAGCTGGAGCATTACCAAGAAGGAATGACGCGGCGACCATCACTGATTGTCGCAAACAAGATAGACGAAGAGGGAGCTGAAGAGATGTACGAGGAACTGAAGACGAGAGTGCATGGTGTTCCAATATTTCCAGTTTGCGCCATCTTGCAGGAGGGGGTGCCAGATCTGAGAGTGGGTCTAAGGAACCTTATGGATGACTCAGATCCGCAGGGCATTGATTTTGAGAAAAATGACTGTTGAATGAGGTTCCGTCTTTTTTTCTCTCCTCATGACACTGACGCATATGAGTGTGTTGCTGATATTTCCCCTGAGAATCAGAGGCTAATATGGATAGCGATTAGATCTGCAAATGTTGATGGCTCTGTGGCTATTCCTTTCTTCTTGTTGTGTTATTTATTACAACAATTGAGCACCTGCAATATTTCTAGTACCCTTCTTGTTAAAGAGCAGAAATATGGAGTAGCTATAAGGTTTGTTTCAAGTTGTACATGGTAGTAGCAGCTGAAACATTGGCCTTGGTCAGTAAATAAACATAACTGCATTTGCACTTAGTAAAACCAGGTTGCAGGCTTGTAGACTTGGTGAAGACAAACGTCTTGAGTTCCTTCTCTGTATAGATTCCCTCCCCTAGCTTTGCAGCTCTCCTTGACATTGCCTCTGCTGTTCTTTTCTTTTGTGCTTTGGCTTGGTTAAAGCCTCCCTTTTGTACAGTGCCTTCTTTTCTAAAAAAAATTATACAGTGGGGGCCTCCCCTGCTGTATTTTACATTAAAAAAAACAATAAGTCAAGAATTACGGCCTGTTTTTCTTCAGTTAAGAGTGATGGATTCTGGTTCTAAATGCTGAAGATAAAATAAATGGGGTACCTTTTAAAAGTAGATTCTGATAATCCAGTCCCATTTACATGACAATCCACAAGCTGCATCCCACCAGTTACAGCTAAACAGCCCACAATCTAGAACTTGCTTTTAAGAATCCAATGCTAAAATAAACATAGCACATGTCCTGTTGGTATCATTCCTACTGAAGATATGCCCATGGAGCTGTAATCTGCAAAGTGAAGACAATCTTCTGGTCCAGATGACATGGATTGCTCTCTGGTGGTATAGAGTACCAAAGAGTTACCTCGTACCAGTATTATATCATTTATGCAGGTTGATTACCATTATGGTTGCATGCTGATTGCTGCGACTGGTTCTGGAGGGAGGTCTGAAGATGTTGGACCATTGAACTGTGGAAGGAGATGTCCCTTTGCCATGGTGGGATGGCCACAAGAAGCATGACAATTTCTGTACATTTACTGCCTTTTGACCCCACTGGAAGTTTGTCCGGTGGAACTTACGACGTGTTGAGACCTCTGCCAGAGTTTCTGTAAGAGCATCTCCAAGAGTTTCCTACTTTTTTCTCCTAAAAACTTGTAGTTTGGCAACTCCTAAAAAGATTTAGGAAGAAAAAAAGAAGGTCATCTTCAAGAGTTTCTAATAAATGATATCTAAAAAAATCAAATTTGAGACCCAAGTGAATTATGTTGCGGCTTTTTTTTTTCTTTTCCATCATGGGAAACTATAGGGCGCGCCGAACCCTGAGACCGTGAGCTCCCTGCCGCCGCCACCATCGTCCAGTGCATCGCCTACTTCGCCGTGTCGACGAACCTAGTGAACTACCTCAAGGACTGGCTGCACGAGGGCAGCAAGGCCGCTGCGAACGGCGTCACCAACTGGATGGGCACGAGCTCCATCACGCCGCTCGTTGCCGCCTTCCTCGCCGATGCCTTCCTCGGCAGATACTGGACCATCGTGCTCTTCTTGGTCATCTCTGTCGTGGTACGTACGTACGTACGTCGTCGTCCACCGTCAGACGCAGAGTCGCAAAGCAAGCTCACCCACCCGGCCTCGTCGCCATTCTCTTGTTTTGTTTCCGACACGTACGTACTCAGGCCTACATGGTGCTCACGGTGAGCGTGGCGGTGGCGCTGGAGAGCGCGGCCTTCTACACGGGGCTGTACCTGCTGGCGCTGGGCGGCGCGCTGCAGACGGTGCTGACTGTTGGATATAATATGGGCTTGGCCCATATAATATTTAATAAATCAAATAAAACTTTACGGTACGTAACATTAAGTGTTGCATGGTTTAATACCATACGGGATTTTGACTGAACGTTGACTCAGCTTATATGGTTAGAATTTATTCATCTAAATTGAGAAGCTGAGAAAAGGATAAAGGCGTGCCACACGCGCGCGCGTCGCTGCCGCCGCCGCCGGCCGGGCCGTGGGTGTGGCGAGGCGGACGGGCGTGGCTAGTCTTTTGCCACTTAAATCCACATTATCATAGGAGTTTCACTTTTTGATGGTGGAGGCAAATAGACTGCGTCAGTTACCGTCTCTTGGAATTCTCCGCTGCCTTGTCTTCTTCCCCAATCGCAGCCATATATCCGTGTCCTCCGTCAGTTCAGATCCCGTCTTCTTCCGCAACCATTCCCGAGAGACTCCACATCTCCGTAGCCTTCAGTCTTCCCACGGGGTGCGCGGCGATCAGGTTTTTGGGGAGCGATCCACGACTGCTCGTCCACATACATCTTGTTCTCGGTGGTTGCTTGCGGAACGTCAAGGCGCCTTCTTCCTGGTGAACCGTTCGTGGGACTGCACTGCGAACATCTTCCTGCATCGACTGTGGTCTGCTACTTCGAGCAACGTACTATATCGACTAGTGCGAATGGAGCCTCCGATGCCCTCGGCATGGGACCCTCCGCTGGGTACAGTCTAATCTCTGTAATTTCTGTACTTTGTGTTTTTACTGTATTCACGAGTATGTCATCTCTGCATGATGTAGTGTTTATAAGAAATATACACATGCACATATATGTCGTCATAAACCTGCTGACGTTATTTTTCTGGATTAAACTGATAATGAAATTGCCTAAATTCCTAACAATCCAAAAACCTAATGTTAGGCAATTTTCTGTCAGTGGTTTTGCTGCTGCTTTGAAGCCAAATAATTTTGATGGCAAGAATTTCATGATATGGCGTGCCAAGATGGTATTGTGGTTGACTGCGATAAACTGCTATCACGCCGCGTAGGGGAAGCCTGAACAGTTTACTCCTGAGGAGGAGCGAAAGTTCTTGGCTGCCGATAACCTGTTTCGAGGCGTCGTGATTAGTGCACTTCATCCCAAGTATGAGAAAAACTACATATCTTGCACATCAGGCAAAGAGTTATGGGATGCTCTTGAGGCAAAGTTTGGGGTTTCTAATGCTGGTAGTGAGCTATACCTTATGGAGCAGCTGTATGACTACAAAATGGTTGAAAACTGTTATGTGGTCGAACAGGCTCATGAGATACAGGCGCTAGCGAAGGAACTAGAACATTTTCCATGTCTGTTGCCCGACAAGTTTGTGGCCGGCGGTATAATCGCTAAGCTGCCACCTTCTTGGAGGGATTTTGCTACTTCTCTAAAATATAAGAGACAAGAGTTTAGCGTGACTGAGCTTATTGAATCTCTTGATATTGAGGAGAGGGCGAGAGCAAAAGACAACCGTGGAAAAGGAGTTGAGTCTTCCGCTACCAATATGGTGCAGAAGGAAAACTCATTTGCATCTCGTAATAAAAAGAAGAAGAAAATGCAAGAGAACAACAATGCAAATCCTATGCAGACTGCACAGTTTAAGAAAAAAAAACAACAAGAAAGGTGGAGGTTGCTTTGTTTGCGGGAGTGATGAGCATTGGGCAAGTGCGTGCCCAGACCACAAATATAAACAAGAAAAGAAATCAACAAACATGGTAATTAGCGAGACTGGAGGAGGAACATCTGGGTATGGTAATTCTTTACATTTTGTTCTTTCAGTTTGTCTTTCACCTGAGTGGTGGATGGACAGCGGTGCTAATATTCATGTGTGTGCTGATGTTTCTTTGTTTATTTCCTATCAGGCCGGTAGGAGTGGAGCCTTGCTGATGGGAAACGGTTCACATGTGCGTGTTCTTGGTGCTGGTACGGTCGTTCTGAAGTTTACTTCGGGAAAGACGGTGCTATTAAAGAACATGCAGCATGTCCCCTCCATAAAAAAGAACCTTGTTAGCGCTTCTCAGATGTGTCGCGATGGCTTTAAAATTGTGCTTGAGTCCAATAAATGTGTTGTGTCGAGACATGAAATTTTTGTTGGAAAAGGTTATGATTGCGGAGACTTGTTCCACTTATCTTTGCTTGATGATGTGTGTAATAAAGTGGTGAACAATGTTAATATTTTGGATGAGTCGAATATATGGCATTCACGACTTTGTCACATTAATTTTGGCTGTCTCACGCGGCTTGCAAATCTGAATTTAATCTCGAAATTTAACTTGGTCAAAGATTATAAGTGCCAGGTGTGTGTGCAATCGAAACAACCGCGCAAGCCTCACAAGGCTGCTGAAGCGAGGAACTTGACACCATTAGAACTCGTTCATTCTGATTTATGCGAAATGAATGGCGAATTGATTAAAGGCGGTAGACGATACTTTATGACATTTATAGATGATTGCACTAGATTTTGCTACGTGTATTTATTAAAAACAAAAGATGAAGCGTTGCATTATTTTAAGGTCTATAAAGTTGAGGTAGAAAATCAACTTGAGAAGAAAATCAAGCGTTTGCGGTCCGATAGCGGGGGAGAATATTTCTCAAATGAATTTTCTGAGTTTTGCGCGGTGCATGGAATTATTCATGAGAGGACGCCACCATACTCACCACAGTCCAATGGGATTGCAGAGAGAAAGAACCACACTCTAACTGATTTGGTTAATGCCATGTTGGAGACTGCGGGACTATCTAAGGAATGGTGGGGTGAGACTATATTGACAGCATGCCATGTCCTGAATAGAGTGCCCACAAAGAACAAAGAAACCACACCATTCGAGGAATGGGAGAAGAAGAGATTAAATCTCTCTTACCTACGAACTTGGGGTTGTTTGGCAAAGGTGAATGTGCCAATAAACAAAAAGAGTAAGCTTGGACCAAAGACTGTTGATGGTGTCTTTCTTGGTTATGCTATTCACAGCGTGGGTTATAGATTTTTAATTATAAACTCTAGTGTTCCTGAGATGGTTGTTGATACAATCATGGAATCTAGAGACGCTATATTTTTTGAGAATGAGTTTCCCATGAAAAATGCACCTAGCACAACTAGTCATGAATTTATAATTTCCCATGAGCATGAAAATTTTATTCCGATAGAATAAATTGAGGAACTCTATGTGCAAAATCCTAAGG